GACGGTGACTCGGGATCCACCTCCACCATGTTCCCCAGAGCTTGTTCCCCAGGCAGTAGGCGTTCTGGGTGGTGATTTCGACGGCGAATGGGGTCCTCTGTTGACCAGCGGCGCTGTCAGCACTAGTTTGGCCTCGTCCATGAAGTTGAGGATATCCACAACGAGCGCCGTGGTCCTCTCAGGTCGTTGCACAGCAAAGCTTGGCACGGTAGTGATCGCGGCCCTTGCGGGTTGGCCCTGGTCCGCAGTGAGCTGCAAGTTGTGGGCGCTGTAGATCGCGATCATGCTGTGGATAGTGCCCGCTGCGCTGAGAATCTCATGGTTGAGGGCAGCATCAACGACATGGACCTCCTGCCGGGCGAGCACGGTCAAGGAGTTCACCGCCTGCACCCTGGGCGCGGTATTTGTTCTTCCTCTTGAGGGGGTCTCAGCCCAGCAGCGCTCTCGGTCTCCACCTCGTAGGAGAGATCGGCTGCGGCGCGCTCGTGCCCCGCAAAGGGGCGAGGGCCCCTTCAGATCTGCCATTGTACGTTCTGAGCGTCGAGCGAGGTCTGGAATACTTGCTCGAACTGCATGCGGATCTCCTCTCGATTGATGCCGTGCTGAAGGCATCCATTGCAATTGAATAGCAGACGGGTGGGCTCGTCCTCTGTGGAGCCGGCCGCGATGGAAAGGACTGGCATGTTGTTGCAATAAATGACGCCCTGCTGTCGGTCACTTCGCCACCGCTTCGTGGCATCTTGCGCTTTGCAGAACTGGGTGAGCTTCTTGGCATGGAACTCCCTTCGCGCCGTTTTCCCGGAGCGGTCCATGCCCAGGAAGAGTCTTGTTGGCTGGCCATGGATACCTTGAACTTCTGTGTTGACCCAATTACCGTCGGGCCCCTTAAGCTTGCTGTAGAATGCTCTGACCTTCCGCGCGGATGCGTTGGCGCCCCCGCTGAACTGGATGATGAAGCGTCTCGCTGGGCTCTTCCCAACCACCTCCCAGTCGGCTTCACTGAGATCACATTTGTCCATGATCGGCTTGATGCTCTGCTTGAGCTGGTCCGTGGTGTAGTTCTCCGACGCGGTGCCCACGATGATGCTACTGTCTGCCGCCCTATCCCACTCAATGAGGTTCTCGTAGTCTTTGATGGGGATATGTGCTTCTTGCATGAATAGCTTCTGTCGCATTTCAGCGACCTGTGCACGTGGCTCTCGCTGATATGCTTCCAGTTTGGTCGAGGCAGCCTGGAGCGATTGGATGCGCCCATTGAACTGTTCGTTTTGTTTTTGCTGCTGACCCACGACCGCGCCGAGCGGTCCTCTGAGCTGCGTGGCGAACTCTGCAATGACTTCTTGCTTGATTGTGGCCAGCCTCGCATCTAGCTGCGCCGTGAGGAAGTCCTGCGATGTTTTGATGGCGGCGTTGACTGCGCCCATGGGGTCAATGAGCTCGGAGGAGGTGGAGGCGTTGGAAGCACCAGCGCGGGGCCTCTCGGCTCCTTCAGCAGCAGCGCGGGAATGGGTGGCCGACTCCCCCCAGGGGTCGTGTTGATGAATTGCATATGTTTGGCGGTCACCTGCTCGCCGATGAGGTCCTTCACTCGGCTCAGCACCAGCGGGTTGGAGAGGAGCAGCAAACCGAACAGCAGCAGCAGCTCCCCGATGAGCCGCCATTCGCGGCGCTGGCTGGGTGCCTGGGGCTGACCAGGACTTTGAATATGGATGCCAGGGGCGGACCTGGACTTCTTAATCTGGATGCCAGGGGCGGACCTGGACTTGGCGCAGTTGCCAGGGGCGGACCTGGACTTGGAAACAGCAGGGTCTCTGGGTGGGAGCCTACCCCGCAAAGACAGTTCGGGAGGGTCCGCCATTTAGCCTTGAACCAAAATGGCAACGGATATATATATATATATGTATATATATATACACACACATACATCGCGAACAAGTTTCTGTGACATGGGCTATGTTCTTGAAATCCTTCGGGCGAGCGTCAGGCCACGCGGAGGCGCGCGTCGCGCGGGCGAAGAAGCAGTCAAATCTAGTACGAAATTGCCTGCGCTGCAACAGGAACTCGTATGCTCTGCAATGGGGGCAGAAGTAGCCCATGTCGACAAGATAGAAGGAAACGTGATGTGGGCACCCGTTGGGGTTGCTGCAGGTGCCGCATTTTGCTCGAGCAATATGGCGGCAATCAACTGGGCACTATGTCCATGGCAAGACGCTGCCACACTGTGCAGACTCCGGTGTGAGCTGCGCGGCTTGCCCCACGGTGCTGCGAGGCATCAGCAACGCAAGTTCTGCATTTTCGTGTGCCCAGCGGCACCTGCCTGCTTGAGAACGCATCTCGCGGGAGGCGTTGCTGGCAAGCGGTGCAATTGAGTTTTGTTTTGGTGGAGGCATGTCTCCGAGGAGAATGGCTTGAGCCCGACTGGCACGGCAACAAAGAATGGGTCGGAGGTCATGTATTTGAGCCCCCTCCGGGTGGACGTTGAAAAAGAGCACAAATAAGAACGTGCGTTTTGGTGAGAAGATGAGAGGGAGGGGCAAGAGGGGAGAATGAAGGGAAGGCGGAGGAGGAAGTGAGTGAGGAGACTCGTGGAGGTGTGAAGAGGAAAGGGTAAGTGGTACGTTTTTGCATGGTTTCGGGAAATCTGTCGGGAGTTCTTGAGGCTCTGGAGCTTGGAGGCCGTTCCCCCGAGCCCCGAGGCCCGTGGCGCGGCGGCGGAGTTCACCTGCCTCAGGGCCCCTGGGCCCTTGACGCCCTTGCCGCGAATCTTGAGGCCCGTGGCACGGCGGCGGAATTACTGGAGGGAGTTGGCCCAGGTTCTCGCCTTCTCCTTCTCCTCCTCCTCCTCCTTTTCTGTTCCTGCCCTGTTTGCCCTAGGACAAGACATGGATGACAATACACAGTGCTGAGCTTCATGGAACCGAATTGGTCAGACCCGGGAGGAATCCATAATGCTTATGTCACTTCACCTCAGTCATTGCAAAGTGATGACCATGGCAGACGTTTGAAAATAAAGTGGAACACTTGGAGTATGTGACGAACGTGGACAAGAAGGAGAAGGGGGAGGAGTAAGAGAGGAGGGGGAGGAGGAGGAAAAGACTGAGGAGCTCGTGGGCCACTGGGGTGGCCTCCCGAAGATGTAGGGACCCCTCGAGAGCTAGTAGTGCCAGAAAGCATGGACACCTGGAGGTACTTTTGGGAGAGCTGTGCATGGGTTGTTCAGTAGGGCCCTCGGACGTGTTGGCCAACTTGGCCGCGGTGGGCGTTTTAGAAGTTCGCCGGGGGCCACGTCCCTCCACCCTGGGGGTCCTCTCGGGGCGATTTTGGATAGTAAATATTGGGGTCTGTTTGGGGGGTCTTGGGGCGTCTTGAGGCGTCTTGCCCGTCTTTGCTCGTTTTGGGGGGTCTCTTGAGTATCTCTTGGGGGCCTCTCGGGGCTCTGTTGAGGCTCTCTCCGAAGCCTCTTGGCGCCCTCTGGGGCAGTGGAGGAGCCCTGTTAGCCATTTGTAGGGCTCTGTTAGGCCGTCCTGGGGCCCTCTTGGGGATCTTTTGGGCCGTCTTGGGTCTTGGGGCGACTTCAGGGGCCCATGGAACATCTAGGGCCGTCAGAAATCAGAAAAAGAAGGATATGTTTCAAATTGCCAGAAGATTACCGTGGCCTCAAGAAGCCCTCTTGGAGGGCCCCCATGAAGGCTTCTTGGGCTGACTCGGGCCCTTTCTGAACCATCTTGACACACTCTGAAACCATCAACGGTCATTTCGGAGCGCTCTTGAGCTGTCTTGGAGCCGGTTTAAACCTCCATAGGCTGTCTTGGGAATATCTTATGCCAGTTCAAAGTATCTTACGCCGGTCCAAACGCCCTCGGGGGGCCTTCTGGGCCGTCTGGGTGGCCCTCGTGGACCGTTCTGGCCATCATGACACCCATCCGGGGGGCCTCTCCTATAATATGAAGAATAGAGTTGTGTGTATATATCTGTGTATATCTGTGTGTAAGACTGCCTTGCGATAACTCATTGTTGCCGTTTTCGTCGCCGCCATTGTCATAGTTCGCAACGCACCCTTCCCTCGTAACCTCCTCTTCATCTGATAATTATCATTATTCCTCGTTCTCGCACTGCCCTGTGAACCCTTCCACGCCGTTCTCGCAGACGAGCAGGAGGAGGATGAAGAAGAAGACAAGGAGAAGGAGGAGGAGGAGGAGCAGTAAGAGCAGGAGCAGGAGTGACAGTGTTGACAGTACCCTGGGGGGCGACGCGTGTCGCGAAGAGCAGGAGAAGGAACAAGAGAATCAGGGAGGACGGAGGAATGAACTAAGATGGGGACGGCAACGACGAGGAAGAGATCGTGGCCCGCGCTGGGGCGAGCGAGAGCACCATTTTGAACGACGGGAGCGAAGCAGTGATCCTTAAATGTGGTCTACGCTGCGGCAGGAATACCACTGTGTTTAAGGGCTGAAGACTCACCGTGTTTGTTTAACCATATGTGGCATCATGTGCACTTGGGGATGAGTAGCTGTAAAAGAAGCGGGGGGGGCAGGCCCCCTGTTGGACATGATTATGGGGGGGGAACATAATACCACTCATATTGAGTAGTTGTGGAAAGATGAAAGAGGAGAGGGAAGGAGGGAAGGGATGCCTGAGGAGTGCAACCATCGTTTCCTGCACCCTGGGGCACGTCAAAAATCTGGAAGGTCAGGAGGCGAAGCCACCCCTCGTCGAGGTCCTGCGCTGGCCCGAGCCGCCTCAGGAATCGCTGCCCGACCTGAAAGACCTGCAGGAGGAGCTGGTTCATTCGGAAAGGAGGGGGGAGCTCCACCAGTGAGAGAATGAGACGACGACAACGGCGACGATGGCGGTGGCAGCGGCGATGACGGGGATGAGAGCGAGCGCGATGGGGATGACCAGGGAAAACAAAAGTGGCACTTGGAGCTATTCGCTACACTCCGATCTTCAGAGAGACTGGGGGAACGCTTGCGAAGGCAGTCTGCGGCCACACGGCAGGCCTTGGGCAGCTCCTCAGGCACGTGAGCAAAGTGTGGGTACAGCAACCGCGCCAGGATCATGCCGGTGCAGGTCGCCTGTGCGCCCGGGATTGATCAACCACCACGACATGCAAAATCGCACGTGCGCCGCGGACTTCGCACATCGTCGTTTACATCAGAATACCGCGTTGCCTCGTGTCTTACAATTCGGCAGAGGTAAAGGCGCTGCCCGACCTCAATACGGCTCGCCATCTGCTCCATCCCATCCAGCAAAGTGGTCATGCCCACCTTGTCACGACTGGCAGATTCGCACAGACACACGCCCTCAACCCTGTCAGCTGGGGGTCGGCAGTTTGCAGCACCGCCTGCCTGCTAACCTTCTCCTGACAATCACGCCAGCCCTTTGGGCGTAGGTATTTTAGGGGGAGGGTTATTCCAGCCCCATTATTACCCTTTCACGAGGGGCTTACACCTCCGCACTGTCCCATGCCGTAACACTCCCCCCCCCACCGGCCTCGCAAGGCCTCTTGGGAGCCTCTTGGAGTTGGCTAGAGAGCATCTCGGGGGCCTCTGGAAGGGCTCTTGGAGGGCTCTTGGGAGCCGCGTTGGGTCTTCTTGGGGGCCTTCTTTCGGGGCTCGCTGGAGGTCCTCATGAGGCCATCGTGAAGCCATTTTGAAGCCTCAAGACCTCCTCGGACGCAAAAAGGCTAGGAGGCACACATCAACTGTGTTCGATAAGTGTTCGAATGATGTTGGCGTTTCGAGGGCCCTGTTGCGGAGTCTCGGCGCCATCTTGGGCCGACCTGGATGCCGACCTGGAAGCAACTGGGCCTGTCGCGTAATCGAAATGCGGAATAAGAACACGTTCGCCTTCCAGGCCCCTCTCAGGGCGTGCTTTGGCAATATTGGATCCTGTCGGGAGCGAGGAGGTGAAGCATCAGCCATTGAAACGTGTTATGTTTGAAATATGAGGCCTCTTCAGGCCATCCCTGGGAGGTTCCGTCGCCACTGACAGCCGTCTTTGGGCCTTATTATGGCCACTGGGGGGTTTGCTGGAGACCATCTTGAGTCATCTTTGAGTATGGTGGCCATCTTGGGCTGGCCATCTCGGACGCTCTCCGCGTCGCTCCCTCCCGCCCGTGGGAGGGATTTTCTTTAACAAGGCGGGCGAATCGCTCCAGTCGGCCCCCTGCCATGTGACCAGCGTGCCCCTCCCAGCAGGGCAGCCCGCGATGCAGCCAAGACGACCTGAGACGACCAGACACGGTGAGACGAGGCGAGAGGGGAAGTGGTCTGGCTCCGGACCACTGCTGAATGCGACGGTTTGCAATAGTGCGTCCTACGGGGGAGACCCCACCTGCTTGAAACAGGCGCCAAAAGCAGCCACGGTCTGCTACATGGGGGGGGGCCAGGGCCCACGCCGTTCGGCAAAACAGCGAATGAGAAAACGATCGCAAGGCCCCCGAAACGGCCCCCCAAAAACACAGAGAGCGTTCCAAGAGCAGTCCAAGAGGGCCCCATAAAATAATGCATCGGGCTCCGGCGGGGGGGAGTTCATTGGAGTTCCCTCTTCTTCGTCCCTTTAGAGCAACGATGGACTACGGGCGGAGCACGATTCAATCTGACATCAACTAATCTCGTTCTAACTGAAACTCGGAACGATCGGCGCTCAACCCGAAACATCCGCGGGTTTCCGCAACCGCGCAAAACTACGGGCTGGCCCCAGGAAAACCGAACACCCTTCCTCGGCCTTCGGCGCCGCGAGTGGGCGGATGCGGAAGGCGAAAGCCTACGGGGCCAGCGCAAATCCATCCACGACGGAAGCGTTAGCAAACAGCCAGCGTCATCACAGGCCGCGGTGTCTCACGTTCCCGTCGGCCTTCATCGCGACATTGATTATCTTCAGCAACCGTTCCATCGTCTCCTGGTCGAGGGCTCTCGCGCACAAATCCGCGGGCTTCAGGTAGCCCACGACCGTTGTCAGCGACGTCTTTTCACTTTGAACTCGCTCCTGCAACCGGAGCAAACGGACAGCAATGCGTCGAACAGCCCCCAGCCCCTGTCTACCCGAAATGCCTCTGGCCGCAAAACTGCCACTGAAGACAAGCAGCTCTGTTTCCTCGTTCACACCCACGCCCAAGTCCATCAGCGTCGCTTGCACTCCAAAACCGCGGCAGGATCCACGCAGTAGGGAGTGGCACTCCGCCTCGCCGCTGCTGAGGCCCACAGTGGATTGGACCGCGGTGCCATGCGTCAGCAGATGCGATCCCCGTAGCACTGCCGCCCCTGTCCTCAACCTTCTCGCGATCGGGCACCCGGCGTAGTCGCTGTCGCAAGACGCGCTGATTTTGTTTGGTAGTCCTTGTGCCGGGAACAGCATACGCCCTGCCGGGTACCTCTTCAGTCCCCCTTCAGGGCCTCCACGTTGCTCTCCTTCGGCTCCTCCATGTGTCTGGCCTGCACGCTCGCGGCGTAGCTGATGTCTGGCCTGCTCATGCTCAGGCACACGATGTCGTCGTCGAGCAAGCAAGCAAGCAAGAAGTCATACACCCGGAGGTGCGTAGGACACAAATGTGGAAATATGTGGAAAAACGACCATCAGCATTATACATATCATGTTGCATTACAACTGTAAGACTGCCGTGCGCACGACATGCCGCCAAGAGGCCTCATTCGTCAGAAGCGGGATTACATTAGCCAAGCCGTTCGCTGCCACACTCGCCATGCGCAGCACCTGGATTGTCCAGTCTGCACGCGGCCTGCCTACTTTCCCCACGTACCTCTCAGAAACCGGCCGGAAGGACTTCGGGCAGAACGCGACTTCTCTCAGCAGGGTCCCTTCCGGTGCCCTTGCTGCCTTTCCCAGGAGGAGGAGCTGCTGCCTTGCCACGGCGTCCGTCAGAAGGGCCTGCCCTGTCTCGCGAAGAACTGTAGCGTTGCTCACTTTTGAAATGAAGGCAGGCGCGATCCCCCAGATAGAGCGGAGGCGCCGGCAATGGAAGCCATCCAATCGCCTATGCCCAGCAGCGCTGAACCACAGAGAAGACAAACCATATGTCAACCTGCTGAGAATCGCAGCCTTATATATCTCAACTTTTCTGTGCCGGCTCAAATTCGAATGTCTCCATATCTTTGAAAGTTTATCGAAATCGGCCCGCGCCGCGCCCAGCCGGCGAGAGAGCTCCTTGTTTGCATCTCCCGCGTCAGAAATAAGAGCGCCCAAGTAGATCATATCTGGCTGCGCTGGTATGACGCCCCCGTGCACGTTTCGGACTTTGCCAGCGCACCGGACCTTCCAGAGTTGGAACTTGTCGGTATGCAGCTCCATGCCATATGATATCCCAGCTTGTTGGACTGCTTGTAATAGCGTTTCCACTGCCCGCCTAATTCTTCCCAAAATCAATGTGTCATCAACGCACAACAAGACGGAAAAATACCCTCGTTCCCAGGAGTCCCGGTCGGAACCGGTAAGCTGCGAAGCCGCTTGCTCGATGATAGCTGTCATCGTCATTACAAACAAGAACGGTGACAGCGGGCAACTTTGCGATATCCCTGACGCCTGCGGCGAATTGCGAATTGCGATCGGCGTTTAGGGCGTCCGAAACCGACCGCGCCACAGCTGGCGCGGCGCCCTCCTTCGCGCCCTCCAGCCCCAGGTCCCTGATCACCTTCTTCACATGACGCGCGTCGGCATCGAGGTAGGCCGACCGCCGCTGCGGGTCCCAGATCAGGACACACTTGAGGCATATCATAATAATATTAGCACTCCTATTGTCAGGCGTACTTTGCGCCGTCTTGCGATTATTACTATCAGTAGCATTCTTAGTCATGAAAGTGTCCTTATTCTTAGCCGTATTACTACTATGTAGTGTCGTCTTATGTGTACGCTTCGTATTGCTACTGATAGTAATGTTCCTCCTCCTCCTCCTCCTCCTCCTCCTCCTCCTCCTCCTCCTCCTCCTCCTCCTCTTCCTCCTCTTCCTCCTCCTCCTCCTCCTCCTCCTCCTCCGCCTCCTCCCCTCCCTCCTCCTCCTCCTCCCCCCGCTCCTCCCCCTCCGCCTCTGCTTTCCCCGAACAGCCCCCCGCGGGATGCGGGCAGGCGAAGCCTGCAGTCGTATCCGGCGCACCGCCGCACACCGGCCCGAATGGGCATCGCAACCAGGAAGCTCCAGGCGACCGGCCAACGGTGGGCCCCAGCCTCGCACGGCATTCCGAGCCGAACCCGGCAACAATAGCGACGACAGGGCGGACGCCGAGGGTAGAGGCGGCGGACCACGCGAAGCGTCGACGGGGGGTCCCCGTCCAGCCACCCGTCCGGGCCAGCGGCGGGCGTGCTGCCAGGAGGGGAGAGGCGCGTTTTTTCCTCGGACTCAGTGGCACTGCAGTGCCTCTAAGGGAGCGCGTTTGCGCCGCAGGCCAGTGCCGAATGCAGCCTGTGGGCTGCAATCCGCTGCCAGTGGGCAGCGATGCTGCCAGTGGGCAGCACGGCACCCCCCCCGATGGAGGGTGGATTGCGACAGCGCAAGAAAGGGTCAGGGAGGGCGGGGCTGCAAAGCACGCAGCGCCACACCACGCCTGCACCAGGACGCGTAGAAAAAATCCCAGGAATCCGCGGCCGGGATGATGGCTGCCAGGAAGAGCGCCCATTACGAATGCACAGCCCCCTCCAAAGGGCCCCTTTCCCCGAACAGCCCCCCGCGGGATGCGGGCAGGCGAAGCCTGCAGTTGTATCCGGCGCACCGCCGCACACCGGCCCGAATGGGCATCGCAACCAGGAAGCTCCAGGCGACCGGCCAACGGTGGGCCCCAGCCTCGCACGGCATTCCGAGCCGAACCCGGCAACAATAGCGACGACAGGGCGGACGCCGAGGGTAGAGGCGGCGGACCACGCGAAGCGTCGACAGGGGGTCACCGTCCAGCCACCCGTCCGGGCCAGCGGCGGGCGTGTTGCCAGGAGGGGAGAGGCGCGTTTTTTCCTCGGACTCAGTGGCACCGCAGTGCCTCTAAGGGAGCGCGTTTGCGCCGCAGGCCAGTACCGAATGCAGCCTGTGGGCTGCAATCCGCTGCCAGTGGGCAGCGATGCTGCCAGTGGGCAG